CTCCCAAAGCTGCAAAGCTTGAGAAGCACTGCCTTATAGAGACAATTCTTCTGCTGGAAGAAAAGCAAAGGCCTACGTACAACTTGTACATTCAAAAGCAAGAAGGCTCTTCACTGGCTTTCCAGCGTAGGCAGTCCCTGGAGAATTCCAAGCAGATGTTCCCATATAAACATGAGAGTGTCAAACAGGCTAAGTGTAAGTGTTTTTGAGTAGCAATGTGCCAACGTAGGGGAAGGAGAACGGCTGACAGCTCTCAGATACCGAGCCTCTAACCTCAGGGACAATCCACAAAATGCTGGACGAGGTGGCTCTGCAATTTTGCTTCACCAAGGGCGCTGCCTGGCTGCGACCAGAGATGGAGCGCTGGGCTGGATGGAGCGACGCGCTCTGTTCTGGGCATGCGACTCAACCCAGAAGTTCATACGGACCTGCACTCTGGGAAAAACATCCAGCTGAATCTTTCCCCTCTCTCTCTCGCATAAAATGTCGTTTAAGTTGTCTTCTTGTAAACTCAAGCTCAGATACTTCGGCCACCTCATGCGAAGAGAGGACTCTCTGGAAAAGACCCTGATGCTGGGAAAGATGGATGGCCAAAGGAGAAGGGGACGGCAGAGGACGAGATGGTTAGAAAGCATCCCCGAAGCAATGAGTGTGAAATTGAGCAAACTCCGGGAGGCAGCGGAGGACAGGAAGGCCTGGCGCGATGTGGCTCATGGACCCACGAACAGTCAGACACGACTTAACAACCGAACAACAACAACAAATCAGTTACTCCTTCTTACGCGATGCTCCATTTTCCGAAGACCCGAGCCCCTGGCGGGGTTGATACTGAAGCTCCAAAAGCGAATCCAGTTCGTAAATTATGTTCCCCCTTCGGGGTGGGCGGCCTTTGGGGAGAGCCTGCTTTTGTGGCTCTGCGAACAGGCTGCTTTCGGGTTATGTTTGTTCTCTGCGGCCCCCCGTCGGGGCCACCCACCCGTTTTGAGTCGGGCGGCCTTACGGACCTGGTTAATTTACGTCTGTATTTTATTTATCATACGTACATAGCCGCCCATCTCACACAAGGTGACTCTGGGCAGCCTACAGCGATTTAAAAAATAAATGTAT